AGTCTCATATTTCCTGACAGTGCCAATCAGCAAAGCCCTTGGGATGAGGCTTGGGTAGACAGCGCCTCTTAGCTGATTTTTGTTTTTCTTCCTTTTTTGAATTTGAACTCACTCATCTGCCATTTAAATCAGTGCCTATAACCAACTGACTACCAAATGCTGTGTGACTGCTTGACTCTCATCTGTATTTTTGGCTTTTTCTGGTTTAACCCTCAAGGCAGGCGTTGCAGATTTGCAACAAGTAAAAGCTAACAACCTGATTACCCCACATACATATTTTATGAGGTTTTTTTTTACTCAGAAGTACCACTGCAGGTATTCTTTTGTGCATTAGCAACAAAAACTTAATTTGAGCCTGAGAGGGTTAAATGTGTGTTTTAGGACTTTTCAGCTTTACTGCCCATTTCAAAAGTAGTCAAAACATAATAAATTACAATCATTTTTTCATCATTAGCTTGATGAAAAAATGTAAATACCTTACTTATAGCTATGTTACTTATTTCTTTTTTACAGCATAAATAGCAAGCTGTGATTTGAAAACTACAACTGGGAGTACAAACCATGTACTCCCTGCATCCATTACTCTCATTACTCAGTCCTTTTTGTCTTACAGTACTGTGGTATAAATGAGGCTTGTCAGGGTCTCTTAGAGTCGCTGACACTTTAAAGAAGTTGCATCTTACGTCACTTTACACTGCCAGCTAAACGCTCTTTTCCTGTTCTCTTTCTTCCCACTGTGGGCTGTTGTCTCTTTCCTCCCCCTGTAGTTGTGTAATATTTAATATTCAGAACATTCAGACACAGTTCAGTGCTGTGGCTGCACAGGAGACATATTTAGTGACTGAGGAGAGCCCAGATGCATTGATATAAAGTGTTCTCTCCTTCACTTTTGAGGGGAGTGTCAGCTTGTCAAGCTTTGAGAAGGATTACTTTCTGACTTGTACTTCATTCTTTACCGGAGTCCTGTCATAGAGCTGTGTGATTAAGTTTAGCTTGAAATTTGTAAGGCAAGCAAAAAAAACACATAAAAATAATGCAAGCATAAAGATGACTCATGCATTTGTACAGCAGCCTATATATATATATATTAGTGTTTATTTTCAACTATGTATATGTCACCGCTCTGTAGGGATGGGAATATTGCTGCATAGATTTTTAAACCCTTTTCATGCCAACTTATGTTGCAATTTCCTGACTGTTCCTCTAATATCCACTGCAGAGTCACGCTCTGGGCTTTTCTGAGATGACTTGACAAGTATTGAATGGATTAACATAGCATTTTAGTATTGATTTCCATGCATTTTTATTTTTATTTTATTTCCTGAATTACAATTAGCAGATTAGAACACCCACACCTAGTAAACAATGAACTGGCACCAATTCTTCACCCCACATCTGACTTTGGCTGTAGCATAAGTTTGGCATGTTTATAATTGTCCTGCTATAATGAAACTATCCTGTACTGTTATTTCTTTTAGTTTAAATTAGTAATGTTAGCATTATGTAAAAAAAAAAAAAAAGTGCATTTTGATGAGGATTATTTACATGGAGAATGCCTGACTGAGGTTTCAGCATAAATCCAGAAGTCACTGAGATTGAATGTGAGCTATTTAACCTGCAGGTGACGCTTACACTGTCTGGTTCAAGCCCAAAGTGATCTTTAAGTCAATAAAAGACACTTCAACTGCACTCCAACGATTGCTCTGTGAGCTCGGATATGGTCTGTGGAGTAATGACTGGTTCCCCTCTGGGACTAAAAACATTGTGAGACCTCAGTAGAAGCCACTGATAGACATCCTGATCACTCAAGTGTAAAGAAACCAGATACAAGACCCTGCTGCACCCACTGGGACCTGTGGAGGACTGTACACAAGCTTTTTGTGTTGTTTTGCCACTGCTTGAAAGTTTTACCACAGCATTGTCTTTCTCTCTGGTTTAAACAGTGAATCTAGTTTTAATAGAAAAAAAACCTAGTGTGTGATTAATCCTTTAAGAGCGGCATCAAGCTTTTATTTTGGGATGTTCTCTGTGATTGCATAACAACATGCAGTGGTAAATCTTTTTTTTTTTTTTTTGATGTAGCTACTTTCCCTCTATCTGTGATTTCACGCTGTTTTCAAGTATTTCAACAACCGGGATCTTTTTGCATTCCCTCAAAGGAAATACATAATAGCCTTGTAGCCAACATTGTGGACAAATATATTGTATCATGGCCACTTTTTGTTATGAGCTATTACTCACTCTTACTGCAGTGGTACACAAACATGAGTATGAATTTTATTATTCTACAAAAGCCTGATGATAATATAACAAGCAGCAGAGCTGGTACCGTAGGGCCAGTTCAGTTTGTATTTATCTCTTTTTTGCGCAGTTTGTAGCTTGAACACCTGCAAGTAAAAGAAATACTGTGAGAATTACATTCCTCACTGGCTTTCTGAGAAGAGCAGCACTTTTCATGGGCACCTTGGTGATTTTTAGTGCTGAATCGATCTCTGCCAGTTTACAGATTTAACAAATAATGTTCAAATCAATTAGGGGCAAAAATATCCAGAAGGATTCTTAGGCTTTTCTTCCTTGTCAGTGTTGCCAGTTTCTCACAAAGGATGCCACACAACTGCTGTAAACAGGCTGATTATTAAAGTTTCACTAATTTTCCTTTAAGTGTAAGTGCATTAGAGTAGCCTTATGCTACTATTTAGACTATTTGTATTTCTGTAGTGTTAATTCACTAATCTTCAGTTGTGTTTCCTTTGCTTGATAAAGGCTGCAGAGCATCAGCTGAATAATGGCGTGACACCAACACATGCATTTTTTTCAACATGTTGCGTTCTATTAAGATGACCCACAGGAGACTGCTCTTCATGTATGGATGCTCACTAAAATGCTACACAACAATCACTAAAACAATGGAGAAGTTGAAATCACAAAAAAATAAGAGAAAAAAATTTAAAATATAGAACATGATTAAAACGGGCAGCACGGTGGTTAGCACTGTTGCCTCACAGCAAGAAGGTCCTGAGTTCAATTCCACCATCAGGCTGGGGTCTCTCTGTGTGGAGTTTGCATGTTCTCCCCATGTTTGCGTGGGTTCTCTCCGGGTACTCCGGCTTCCTCCCACCGTCCAAAGACATGCAACTTGTGGGGATATCCAAATTGCCACTAGGTGTGAATGTGCGAGTGAATGTGAGTGTGAATGGTTGTCTGTCCCTGTGTGTTGGCCCTGCGACAGACTGGCAACCTGTCCAGGGTGTACCCCGCCTTTCGCCCTGTGACAGCTGGGATAGGCTCCAGCGCCCCCCGCGACCCTGAAAAGGATAAGCGGAAGCGAATGGATGGATGGAACATGATTAAAACATAATTCTAAATATCTAAAGCTAACATCTTATACTGTTCACAGAATGACACTGGTGAAAAGGCAAAGGTGAGCTTTGAAAGCTATTAGAGAAGCAAACAACCTGACCTGAAATGTTTTAGTGTTTCAGAGCTGCAGCTGCGAGGCTGTAGAAACCAGTCTGGGACTATTAACAGCTGCTGATCAGCTGGTTTAAGCATTCAACAAGGGATATAAAACTGTAATATCTCTGCAAATACTCAAGGAAAAGCCCATGCAAGCATTTATATGTGAACTAAAGGTATTTAAAGTGAATCCTTTACCTCACAGGTAGCCAAAACAGGCAAAATATATGTTTACCAGATACTTAGGCATTCACTCTGTTGCAGCTGACTGTGCGAAGACTGCCTGTTATTCACAAACCTGCAATTTGTCAGCGGATCTCACGATTCACTGTACTCTGAGCATGGTCTGAAAGATGGCAACCTATCACTGCATCGTCCAAAAATTGGATACTCTGATCGAGACTAAACATGCGACTTTGTAGAAAACTCTATAAATGTTCTATATGATCTCATCTATATGCGCACATCTCAAAAGGGAAGCAGCTGGCAGAAAGACATCAAATTATCTCGGAAACACAGCAACACAAAGAAATATTATTTCACACGCGCGCGCACAAACACACGGAGTATGCGCACTCTCACAGAGCTGCCTTAAGTGTGTTTATCTTTGTTCCTATAGAGAGATGAAGAATACCATCTGTCATATTACCCATTTCACTTCTCACATATAACCGCCCTCACAACATGAGACGATATTACATCAACGAAAGAGGCTTGACTGGGGAGGGCCGCTATATTCATTGGCATGGAGACATGCAATTGCATTTTAAAGTGCAGTAACAAATTCAGGATGAAAGCAAAGCCTTATCTTTGGTCTCATCTGCCAACCTGGTATGGATTGGATGGGGAAAGTGATTGGGCCTTCTGTTATAATTTAGTCTTCTCTTCAATCTTGGAACTTTGCTGCCACTGTCCGATAAAATCGTACGGGGCTGGGACCATGTTATTGATTGAAACATTAGCCTAAACATATTTTATGTCAGCACTTTTACCTTTAAATCAGTCTCTGTTCAGAGGATGTGCTTTATAATCTGGGTTATGTTCATCAAAGATTTTGATTTATTTTATGTTCTTTTATTTCCTTTGGACTGTTTTTTTTTTTGTTCTTTGTAGCCTGCTAAGCCAAGGACATTGATGCTGTTATTTTGCCACAGTCAAAGAAACCTTTTTATAAATTTTCTTTCAGACTGCAAGGGAGTGAATCTATTACTGATGGAGGCGAGGAACGGAGAGGAATAGCATAATGATACGGTCACATCCCACTTGATGTCATGGCAAACAGCACATTTACCACACATGGCACATCCCGGCGAGGCTTTGCTTTGTTCGTTTTGATACATTTTCAATCAAATCCTGGTGAGAGTGTAGAGAAACGCGCACATGAAGGATGCGCAAATATGAAATGACACGCATTTTTACAACCAGCTGAAGGCACGCTAGTGATGAACAGAACAGAATGACCAAAAAAAGGATCCATCCTGTAACTCGTAGATGTACAACAACATATGCAATCATTGGGCACATTTTCTTTGCTTTCTCCGCAGAGTGAAGTTAAAAGAAGGCGTGACGTTCCTCGGCGCTCGCCCCAGCAACCCCACCCAGTGGATAGTTAGTCAAGATGTGAGGAGCGAAGGCCACCGAGTGGTGACTCTCCACTGCCGCAGGAAGGAGTCCAGCTATGATCAGCAAAGGTCAGCCCATAAAGTGCTTTTCTTTGAATGACTATATCGAGTTTGGGAGAATGGCCTCTTAGTGACTTGTAAACATCTTCATGACCTTCAATTATAAGACATTAAAGTAAGTTCCTCACTGATGACAGCTTTTTAGTATGTGTATTTGTTTTTTTTAATGTGTTCATAACTACTGAACTCAACAGCCTGACTTCACATTAGCCACTAAAAAGGTAGTTGTCACTTTTTGGATGTGCACAATTTGAGTTAGTAGCATCAGTTAGATGGCTTCAGTAGGCTTATCTCCAGAGTGATTTTTACTGTTGAATTAAAAAGTTGCTGATCATTCACATTTGGAAGGAGACACACACACACTCACAGGCACCGTGTGAATGGTTATTTAAGCGATGTTCTCTTTGCTCAAATGACACACTTGACTTGACATAAAGGCCACGTCTGTTGACACAACTGTGGAGAGAGAAAAGTTAATCGACTATTGCAGCATCCCCTCTTCCGTCTCTCTCTCTCTCTTTCCCTCGTGCTGTCGTTTTTATTTGCGTACTTACTCTCTCCACTAGCAGGCCTCAAAGTTGTTTTGGTCATTTCCCATCTGCATTCACATCCTTAAACTAATCTGGCAGATAGGAACGTGATTGCCAGCGCAAGAGGAGGCAGGGGGGGGGG